AGGCTGAAAACGGAATAGGGCCTGCAGGCCCTCATTTTTCAGTTTCAGGCTGAAACGACCGGGGCCTGTAAGCCCTATTTTCTAGGCTTTTCTCCCGGAAGTGCGGGAAGCGCCCTACACGCCGATGTCCCTACGCAGAATCTCTCTCTCTCTCTCTCTCTCTCTCTCTCTCTCTCTCTCTCTCTCTCTCTCTCTCTCTCTCTCTCTCTCTCTCTCTCTCTCTCCCCGCGACCCAAAGATGGAAAGTGCAAAACGGGCTTAGTTATTTTTCAATTTCTTTTTTGTTGGGGCAGAAGAAGTCGTTTTTTTTTTTTTTTTTTTTTTTTTGTGTACCTACCGGTAGCTCGAGGCTCGGCAAGGTTCGGGATACCAGTAGGCTGACCCACGGGCCTTAACAACCGGCAGGTACTGGTGGTTCAAGTGTTATGTGTATTGGAGTTCAAACAGGGACCTCCAAGTTACGATATCAGAGCTCTACCCACTGAGCTATTGAGGTCATTAGTCTGTAAAGGTGGTATGCTAGGCTTGGGGCAACTACGTGGGGTGCAATCTACACCAACCAATTGTGCTCGGGGAGTATGCTAGGCTTGGGGCAACTACGTGGGGTGCAATCTACACCAACCAATTGTGCTCGGGGGAAATTGCGGGCTGACAAAGTTGAACCCGCAACCTTCCCGTTGCAACACCAGAGCTCTGTTCACTGAGCTACCTTGTACTTGCTTTCTACCAACTGGCCGTCTCGAAGGTAAGACGCCAAGCATGCCACAGGCAATATCGTGGGTACAATGGGAGTTGAACCCACGACCTCCTGAGTGCCGCTTGAATGCCTTACCAAGTGAGCTACACCCAGTTGGTGTTATATGATTTATATCATACTTACTTCTTTTTTTTTTTTTTGATGCTAGGGGTGCTGATAGGAGCAGGCACCGCTAGCACACTTGGGGAGGCTCCATCTATTGGTGGGGAGCAGCACCTGCTGGAAACCGGGTCCAGCATCCCTGAACATTTTTTAGAATACCTGAATTGTTGCTGTAACAGATGTGGCAGAAATGTAACGCTGAGCAGACAATTATTCTGCTGAGAGATTTGCACAAAGATCAGGGATGGAGTTTTAGAGACTCAATCCATCATACTTACTTCTTTCCTTGTTGATTCTAATCTTTGTTGACTTTGATGTTCGCTTTGCTTGCCGGTTGATAAGCAACCAGACTGGCATCCCCCAGAATTGACGGGGCATGAGTGTTGTGCATTAAGAAAAAAAAAAAAAAAAAAAAAGTCCAAATTATAATATAAAAGTCGGGGGCTAGGATCTTGGAGTGACCTTTCTGGAAGCAACAAATGAGTCATAAAGGCCCCAACTATCTGGGCTACAAAACGGGCCGCCATGGTCACCTTGGTTGCCCGGGTGGACCGGCAAGGCAAGGGCTATGGAATACCCCTGCTTTAAAAAAAA